ACATTCACTGCAGGCTGATATGTTTGTGTATAACATACATGGGGGTCACCTGTACAGTTACACAGCAGCCACTGCCATAGTGAGGAATGAACACTGTTACTTCCTGAACACAATACACTGTTACTTCCTGTACACAAAATGTAACTTTTCCAAATCAGGCCCAGCCAGGCCTGGTGGGGATTGTTGACGTGTCCTCCCCACATCCAGTCTTTGCTGACCTCCTGGGGGCGGAGATTCCATGTACAGGCCGGACTGGCAGCACTGACCACCCCCAGGCCTGTTTACCACAACAAGACGAGGAAGGGGGTGGGGGGGATTACACCTCGGCCAGTCCTACAAATGTACAATGTGCCCCCTGCTGGGACTGTAGGAAAGGGCCACCATGAGAGTCCACATGCTGCATGTTCTCCCCTAGCTTCCCTCCCCATGCAGGCCCAGTAGAATGTAATGGCTGACAGGCCACATTGACATTATAGGGGCCGGGTGGAGGTCAGCAGCTGACCAATAAACGTGAAATAACAGCAGCTTGTACAACAGATTACCGTTATGAGCGGATTACAGACGGTGGAAATAAAAAGGGAAGGGGACGGTATGGACCTTCTAGACATATGGCAGTCTCTGCTGGTGGGCACAGCTGGTATCCCTAGACCCCCCCATGCTTTACCCTGCACACATCTGGCGCCGGGCTTACAGGCAGCCCTTCAACACAGCCAGCCGCATTCCGGCCTAGTTTCCGCGCTAATCAACTCGCACACATAGATAGGGTGCGGCCTGGGCCAGCCCCGGGATTATGCAGCGTGTCTCTCCGTGCAGCGCCTCCCCCGCCCGCCGCCAGCCACGCGGTGTAGGTAGGCCGGCAGGACTCGAGCTGAGCAGCACGCACGGGTAAGATGAGGGCCAACAACCCGCTGCGGAGCCAATGCCGGCTGCGACCCCCCTTCCCTCTAACACACTCACCTGGAGCTGCCATGTTGGGCCGAGTGTGAAAGAACGCAAAGACCCGGATGAGACGGTCACGTGTGCGCAGCGCCGGGTCTATCCAACGAAGGAAAGCGAGCGGTTGCTTGACGTCATGACGCTGTGGGACGTCGTGATCCAGCCGCCATTTTTGTTACTGGAACAATGCGTACATGCTGTTTTGTAAGCCTGGTTTGCAGCATATCCCAGAAAAAAGGCAAGATGTGCCCTATATTTACCACGTTCGTTCTTTTCAGGGCCGGTCATGAAGAATTAATTACCACTTAAATTGGTTAGAATTTAGTTCGAAAAGGGTTGTTATGGGAACATTAAATCATCAATTGATGGGTCATTTCGATCGTTTTTTATGTAGTGGCCAAAAAAAAAAAATCGAAGGAGCAGGATGGAAATTTTCAAGGTGATTTTTGTTTGGGAAACTTTATTAATTTCCAAAATTGAATGTTAAAACAAAACAAAAAAAATCCCAAAAAAGTGTCAATACTCCAAAGGCATTATCGAATGTTCTGACGTAATTTCTCATACAAATGTTAGTATGAAATTGTAACCGTGTGTACCCTGCTTTAGTTTCCAGCACCTTCACTGGTTTGCATGTATTGTTCCTGCGTGTGTTGCAAACTGAATGACAAATAAAATAGATATCGGCACACCAACGCATTCCAAAAGCGACTTCTTTATTGGTTCCAAAGATCGATTACACAGGAGATGATAAACTAACATCTATGTGGGAAAGTGTCCATGGAAATATTCAGTGGAATCTTCTTTGTCATATTACATGGCATTTTATGCTTAACTTGTTATCTATGAAAATACATTTTGTATGTTTACACAGGAGATGAACAGAGACTTCTAACATGTTTCATGCACACAGGAGATGAACAGAGACTTCTAACATGTTTCATGCACACAGGAGATGAACAGAGACTTCTAACATGTTTCATGTACACAGGAGATGAACAGAGACTTCTAACATGTTTCATGCACACAGGAGATGATCAGAGACTTCTAACATGTTTCATGCACATAGGAGATGAACAGAGATTTCTAACATGTTTCATGTACACAGGAGATGAACAGAGACTTCTAACATGTTTCTTGCACACAGGAGATGATCAGAGACTTCTAACATGTTTCATGCACACAGGAGATGAACAGAGACTTCTAACATGTTTCATGTACACAGGAGATGAACAGAGACTTCTAACATGTTTCATGCACACAGGAGATGATCAGAGATTTCTAACATGTTTCATGTACACATGAGATGAACAGAGACTTCTAACATGTTTCATGTACACAGGAGATGAACAGAGACTTCTAACATGTTTCATGCACACAGGAGATGAACAGAGACTTCTAACATGTTTCATGCACACAGGAGATGATCAGAGATTTCTAACATGTTTCATGTACACATGAGATGAACAGAGACTTCTAACATGTTTCATGTACACAGGAGATGAACAGAGACTTCTAACATTTTTCAGGCACACAGGAGATGAGCAGAGACTTCTAACATGTTTCATGCACACAGGAGATGAACAGAGATTTCTAACATGTTTCATGTACACATGAGATGAACAGAGACTTCTAACATGTTTCTTGCACACAGGAGATGATCAGAGACTTCTAACATTTTTCAGGCACACAGGAGATGAGCAGAGACTTCTAACATGTTTCATGCACACAGGAGATGAACAGAGATTTCTAACATGTTTCATGTACACATGAGATGAACAGAGACTTCTAACATGTTTCTTGCACACAGGAGATGATCAGAGACTTCTAACATGTTTCATGTACACAGGAGATGAACGGAGACTTCTAACATGTTTCATGCACACAGGAGATGATCAGAGACTTCTAACACGTTTCATGTACACATGAGATGAACAGAGACTTCTAACATGTTTCATGTACACAGGAGATGAACAGAGACTTCTAACATGTTTCATGCACACAGGAGATGATCAGAGACTTCTAACATGTTTCATGCACATAGGAGATGAACAGAGATTTCTAACATGTTTCATGTACACAGGAGATGAACAGAGACTTCTAACATGTTTCTTGCACACAGGAGATGATCAGAGACTTCTAACATGTTTCATGTACACAGGAGATGAACAGAGACTTCTAACATGTTTCATGCACACATGAGATGAACAGAGACTTCTAACATGTTTCATGCACACAGGAGATGAACAGAGACTTCTAACATGTTTCATGTACACAGGAGATGAACAGAGACGTCTAACATGTTTCATGTACACAGGAGATGAACAGAGACTTTAACATTTTTCAGGCACACAGGGACAGTCATAGAATCACATTATACTGGTGATGCCCAAACAACTACCCATCTGCCTTCTATCCCCAGCAGGCCTGTCGGCATGAATTTTCTGTATACATATTAATTTTTATTAAAGTTTTCAGAAAGTACACACACACAATTTACATAGATTAGAGAGCAACTAGAAGACCCCCAACCAATAAACACCAACGTATAGTCAAAAAGCCAAACAATTTCAGATAACAAGTTGTATGCAACAAAAGCAAAAGATAGATGAGTTGAAGGTAAAGAGAGCGATATGGATCTATGTGAAGTGGTATTGGCTCTGTGCTATGGATGTCCGCACCTCTCCTACACTTAGCTAGGTAATGTATATGTGGGTTTCCAGAAACGTTCGCATCGCACGAGAAAGAGAAAAAGTACAGTCCTCCTTTACAATATAAGGAAGACATTACAGTTACAATACAATTCAAGACAAGATAGTAAGGAGGGCCCTGCCCGTGAGGGCTTACAATCTTAAAAGATGGGGCAAGTGATTCAAGAGGTGGTAGGTGTGTGGGGATGAATTGCGATGAACTGGGAAAGTGATAGTTCAGTGGTTAGGTAGAGGTGGGATAGGCTTCCCTGAAGAGATGAGTCTTTAGGGATCGCCTAAAGAAAGACATAGTAGGAGATAGACGGACAGGTTGGGTTAAGGCCTTTCAAAGGATTGGAGAGACTCTAGAGAAGTCCTGGAGGCGAGCATGGGAGGAGTTGACGAGGGAGCTAGAGAGCAGGAGGTCTTGGCAGGAGCAGAGGGGATGGTTAGGGTGAATCTTTAAGATGAGGTTGGAGATATACCCAGGGGCAGAGTTGTGGATGGCTTTGTAAGTGGTTGTTATAATTTAAAAAATGTATCCTTTGGGTGATTGGAAGCCAGTGGAGGGATTGGCAGAGTGTGGGGGGGGGAGTTGCAGACACTGATTGGCGGTTGGTTAGGTGGATGAGTCTAGAAGCAACATTCATGATAGAATGAAGGGGGGATAGCCTGTGTAGAGGTAGACCAATGAGGAGGCAGTTAGTATAGTCAAGAGGAGAGATAACAAGTGTTTGGATGAGTCATTTTGTGGTTTCATTGGTGAGGAAGGGGCATATTTTGGAGATGTTACGAAGGTGAAGGCTTCAGGATTTGGATGGTGATTGGATGTGGGGCAGAAAGGTGAGGTCCGAGTCAAGGATCGCACCTAGCACTTTGGCATGGGGGGAGGAAGGGATAGCTGTGTTATCAATCTAAATGGATAAGTTGGAGGAAGGTGCATGGGGCGGAGCAAATATCATGAGCTCAGTTTTTGAAAGGTTGAGTTTTAAGAAGTGTTGTGACATCCAGACAGATATGTCAGTTAGTAAATTAGTGACCTGTAAGCAGGGCCGGACTGAGACAAAAAATAGGCTTGGGCATTTTAGACTGAGCAGCCCAATCACGTGACCACTGCCAGGCCCCACCCCTCACAACATGGGGCAGAGCCAAAAACAGAAGCGCAATCGAGGGGCAGGGCCGGCCACTAGTAAGTACAGGAGGGCTACAGCTGACACACAAGCCTTGCTACAACCAACAAACAAACCTTGCAACAATATAGGAAGCTTTCTATAGAAAAGTTTTGTGATACCCTCAGCAGATCTCCACCTTCCCAGCTGCCCATCTCACTTGAGCACGGTGTACAGGTAGGTGCTCCTGAAATAGCACTTACAGTGTTCCAGCAACGCCTGCACAATACCACCTATTCTGTACACAGGCGAACCACATCACTGCACTGACAGCTTTTGGCAGGTCTTTCAGAGCCGAGACTCTATTGGCTGGGAACTCTGCTGTGATTAGTAATTACCGCTCCAAACTGAAAGCTTTATGTATAGAAGAGAATGCTGACACTCAGGTGGATGGTCACAGAATGTAGAGTGGGCATATGGGTAATAAAATGCAGGCAGCCAGGACCACAGGCGGCTCTCTTATTAGGGAAATTAGGTGGCCGCCTAATTTTTCCTAAATACAGGGACAATATATATATACAGTATAGACTCTATGGGTGGCACATACAGTACTGGCTCTATAGGGGTCAGGTATAGGCTAAATATGGGTCCATGGTGTACAAATGAGTATACAGTAAGCAGAAATAAAAACATATATGTATTAATATTACCCATCTTCTACAATGGTGTTACTTAAAGAGTATTCGTTGCCTCCAGAACCAGCAAAGTTGGCTAGTTGTCTTTGACTGGCACAGCCGTCCTCAAAATCCCATAGGTGGACTGTTCAGGTGATGTCTAGCGTAGCAAACCTATTGAAAGGCAATGGGTTTCCAAGGGTAGCAGTGAAAAATTAGTGAGTGGTGGCATCCTCACTGCCATACTCATCGGCCGTACGAGGAGCGGCACACCGGCCTCCTAGCACACTCAGCGTGCCACACATCAGCCCCGGAACATGTACCCCCTACAGGGCCAGCAGCCCAACCTGAAGCAGCAGCAGGCTGAGCAAATCCCAGTAATACATTATACAGTTAAGTAGAATGGCACTGGCTATAACGGACTACAAATACCAGCAATACATTATACAGCAATGCAAAATAATAGTATATGAATTTGGTACATGTGCTGCCGCTCTGTTGTGAGGTACCAGCCTGAAGTCTTGGCCATAGGATCTCAGGAGGGGTAGATGTGTAGCCGGTGGAAGCCATGTAAGAAGTCGCCGTGTGGTTCCCCAGAAGGTTGCTGTACGGGACCTAACGCAGTCGAATCAATTTGAAAAATTCA